AGTTTCCAATAATCGTATCGACCAACGGCACCCTTTCACCAGTGTGGAGCTATCTGTTTTCATAACTCATTTTACTTATGAAGTTCTCTAACTTAAATAACATTTTGATTTACTAGGCTCGTCTTAATCCCACACACAACTAACGTTTTAAAACCAATGTTAATTACAGCCCATTACTTAAAATGTATAGTTTTATTCCAAATTTATGTCTTTTGGATTTCATATATTGTTTGAAAGACCAACGGTCTTTCCATAAAAGTAAACTTTTATCAATTGCCAAGTTAGAAAAAGCAATAAGAGCATCTTTAAAATTTGTTTGAACTTCAGATATCACCATTTGTATTTTATAAAGTCGGTCACCATGGACTTGTTGACTTTTGTTACAAAAATGTATTAATCGAAGAAGTAACAAATACCCATCTCTAATCATTAATTTATCAAATATATTTTGATGTAGAAGTTCATTTGTAGACCAGTAGTCCTGGATTTCTAATTTTCTATTCCTAGCAATCAATATATTGATGGCTAAAATTATATACATTTCATCAATTGATCTATCCTTTCATTATACCAATTTGGAGTATTCTGAAGATGTTGATTGTTGCTGTGCATATTGGTTGGTTTCAAAAACAATTTTTCCCATTAGATTTGGCGTTATAAATGCTTCAAAAAAGTCCTACACTGGAGAATTTTCATTCATATCAAATTCTTTTCCCTGTATTCTAACCTAAAATATTAGATTTCATGAAAATAAAATAACAGTTAATGTAAATACTTAACTTTAGAAATATAATTACATGATTTTGAGGAAAGGAATGGATTTTTGGTTCATAATTATCAACTGTCTTTCTTCATTTCAGTGGACCAAATATTTTTGGAGGTAAAGGCACCCTTCTTTTAGGTACATTTGCAGTGCATATTTCTGTAACTGGTTGACTAGTTGATAATTCTAAAATCGATTGAGAGCTAACTAAAAAAATATAAAATAATTTATATACCTTCCTAGAATACCTCCAAGACAAAATTAAATGGTAAGACTTAATTTATTATAAATATAAGTATAAATAATTATACTTCAATTATTAGCTCAGTTAGAATTTTTATCAATTATACAAATTATAAAGATGTATTGCTTACTATTTTCATTTGCATCAATTTGAACCTGTTCACCAAGTTGTGAAGATGAAACATTTATTGAAAAAATAGTAACTTTGAAATATATAAATACATAATAAATATTATACACCATTACACAAAAATTCTTATGAAATAGTCAAAATTATTTCCATATTATTATCAAGTATAATCTTACATAATTCCTCAAAATCATCAAATTCAAAATTAATTACAGCTTCATCAGTCTCAATATTTTGTAATACTATAATACAAGGAAAACATTTTAGTACATAAACTGTTTTATAAAATGCATTTTACATTTTATTTATATAAATTTCCAATCTTACCTTGTTCTTGTGGCTCGATTTCAAAACCATAGAGAGCTTCATCTGTTTCCCCAATATGGAACTCGTCTTCTGACTCAGAATTGGCGTAAAATTCGTTCATTAAAAGTTCATTTTCAATTTCATTTTCAGTTATACATTTTTAAGACATTTTAATACATAAAAAAAAAAAAAATGATTTTGAATAAATTTTGCAAAAAAAAATATTAATATTGAGTGTATAATAATAACGTAATGACATAAAAACAAGAAAATACC